GGGGGGGTGAGTGGGGCGGGACGGGGGAGGGGGAGCCATGCTCCAGAGTTAGGGGGGTGACTGGGGCAGGGCGGGGGAGGGTAGCCATGCTCAGGGCAGGCAGCCATCCCTGAGTGCTCCTCTCAGCTCCAGCTGCAGCAGCACCTGCTGCTCTTTCTGCCTCCGGTGGTAGAGGCCAGTTACTGCGAGTAACCAGACAGTGTCCGGGCAGCTGGACCTGGGGCTGGAGCAGAGCTGGGGGCAGAGCGGGGTTGGGTGGCGCTCCCTCCCCCCGCCCTGGAGGGCTGTCCCAGGCTCCGCCACACACCCCCAGATGTTCCTCTGCACCCCCCTAGGGGGGCGCACCCCACAGTCTGGGGACCACTAAACTAGTTAAAGGGGTCAAATTGGCTATTCCATTTCCCCCTCTCCCAATTACCAATGAAAGACGGGGGTTGATACTTGGCAAGGTAGACCACACACAGCTGAAAGTGAGACAGCTGGCACCGGGTGGTGCAGCCATAATCTCTGCCGGGTAAGGTGGGCCACTGCCCAAGGAGGATGGGATTCACTGTTTTGGAAAGACTGTGGACATTTTCCCATGTTTTCTCCTTCCAGCTGCTCTACAGCCAGTGTACAAACCTGGGCCCACTACGCAGACAAACTTCCATGTACATTTACACCACCTGTTATCCACTTTCCTCAGATGCCTCCACAGATGTGTGATTAAAGGAGACTTCAGTGACGATGAATTTCCATACGGTTGTCTAAAACCAAGCAGGTAGATTGAAAAGGCATATTGCTTGGTGGGACCAACCTGCCCATCTCTGGGGGTGCGCGACATCCCCATGTAAACAAACAGCATCAGGGCATCCCACTCTGGCTGTCACAGAATGTACCATAGGCCCAGTGCTTTCACACCAGCACGAACCACTATAGTATTGGCTACAAATGATGCCTCGTGTGAGTAAAAGAATCATTTTGGTTCCCCAAAAGGCACCTTGTTTAACGTTGAAAACATAAGACTGGCCCCTTTAAGTGTGATGCATGCATAGTTGCAGGCAGTATATATACTATATATATTTTATATTCACATATATGGCTCGAGAAGAAGAGTCCTTGAGAAGCTAGACATTGGTGAGTTTGCTACTGCTGAGCAGTCTCACAGCAATGCTTCCTGAAATGCCATTGGATTTTTTGTTCCCCTTATCTTGGAGCTGAAGGGTTTGCTGTGACAGACGGTCATCGGGGTCACCAGTTAGGGCCACCTGGCCCAGGAACTCGTCACTTATAATGTTATGGTTCCAGACCTAGAGAAACAAAACACAAAATGACAAGGAGTCCGGGGGCACGTTGAAGACTAACAGATTTATTTGGCCATAAGCTTTCGTGTGTAAAAAACCCACTTCTTCAGATGCACCACAAAATGGGTGCTGTTCCTGTTGGGCCACATGCGGGTTTTCTGCTGCAACCTATTCTGCACGTACAAATGTCCGTACAGGGTATATGGGATGCCTTTATCATTCTAGTCTTGCTGTTATTGATTAGTTCTCTTGCAGTAGCACCGAGAGGCCCCAGACGAGATCAGGGCCATATTGTGCTGGGTGCTCTACATACAAGAAGCGAGACAGTCCCTGAGCTGAACAGCTTACAGTCTAAATAGACCAAACAGACAAAGGGTGGGAGAAAGGAAGTATTGTTATAAATGGGGACCTGGGACACAAAGAGACGAAGTGACTTGCCCAAGGGTGCACAGGAAACCTGTGGCCAGATCTCCTGGAACTTAACCTCTAGACCAGCCTCTCTCTGCAGCTGGTGAATCTTGATCTTCCTCCACTTTTGAAATAGTCACTGGGCTAATCATTTTCCTGGGTGGATGAGTGGACTTTTTAATCCTTGTCACTGGTCATACAGAGGGTATTTTAATAATGACGTGATGACTTGTGTCCTTGCCTCTCCCAGGATTAAATACACACCTCCTCTGATCCCTGCGGGCTGGGGTCAGAACGACAGCATGGAAGCGTGTAAGTGACTACATGAACTGAAAGGCAGTGGAGAACCAGACCCCACATTCCTTTTGTTTTTAGGGCTCCCTTAAGAGGCTATACTTGATGTGAAAAGTATCTGTAGTACCTCATAATGAGCCAACTCCTGAAGCCCTTACTGAGTTCTTACTGAATCCAAACTTGGGCAAACTCCCATTGACTTTAGTGGGAATTAGACCAATGAAGAGCTTAGTAAAAAGGCTTGACAATTTGTCCATTAGTACCTGCACATTGTCTAAAGCACCATACCTCCTTAAGCCCACATTTCTGGTTAAGAACCTGACAAATTAATACTTTTCACTTAACACGTTAAATAATTGAGCCTCACAATGAAGAATGGTCAAGTATGAGCATCACTGTTAGACAGGGAAACTGAGTCACAAAGTATTTTGATGAAATAGCCAATGGTGCCCTGCAGATCAGGGAATAGAACCTGTGTCCTGCTGGCTCCCCACAGATTGGCCTTTTAGTCACCTGCACAATGATGGGCTGTCCTGCCTTCTTGCGATAGAAGAGACCTTTCACATCAAACTCTGGAGCCTGGGTGTTTTTCTGCACTGGAGATCGAATTTTGTTCCCTTCGCACTTTATGATCACATATGGGTCTGCTCCTGGGGAGAGGAAAGAGAATTTACCTCCTGCCACAGCTAATGTCATTCCTCCTAGCCCTTGATTGGGTCACTCCTGACAGTGGGTATTATAGTCTATAACCCACAAATGGCAGCAGGAAATCAAGCAAACTCTGTAAATGGGGACAATGATGCTTGCCCACCTACGCATTGTCCTTTGAGATCTACAAACGTCCAGGGGCCAAGGCTCATTTGCATTATGCGTGATGTCACCCCGGATGTGGGCTAGCGGCTGAGCAAACCAGCTGAAGGTGGTTCCCAAACAGTGAAGTGACAATATCACTGTAACATACAAGCCCAGATGTTCCAAACTGACTGGTGATTTTGGGTGCCCAGCTTGAAACACTCTGAAGAAGCCTGATTTTCAGACAACGGGTGCTCAGCACATTCTGAAAATCAGGGCCCTTTCAGGTGTCTCCTGCTGGACCCTCCAAATCACTAGCTGCTTCGGAGCATCTTGGCTGCAGGCCATGACAAAAAATAGTCCCATAAACGTGAACAGAAGAAAACACACCAAGGCCACACTGCAGTGCAACGAAGAACCTACCTTGTTACCACTGCTAGGATCTCTCTTCACTGCTCTGAGCCCCCTCAATGCCCACTGACATCGGTGCAGTTGAGGGCACTCAACACCTCGCTGAATTGAGCCCACATAGCATTTTTCATCCATAGATCTCAAGGCACTTTATAAAGGGAGGTAAGAACATAAGAACGGCCATACTGGGTCAGACCAAAGGTCTATCTAGTCCAGTATCCTGTCTTCCAACAGTGGCCAATGCCAGGTGCCCCAGAGGGAATGAACAGAACAGGTCATCATCAAGTGATCCATCCCCTGCTGCCCACTCACAGCCTCTGGCAACCAGAGGCTAGTGACACCATCCCTGCTCATCCTGGCTAACAGCCATTGATGGACCTATTCTCCATGAATTTATCTAGTTCTTTGAACCCTGTTATAGTCTTGGCCTTCACAACATCCTCTGGCAAAGAGTTCCACAGGTGGACTGTGCGTTGTGTGAAGAAATACTTCCTTTTGTTTGTCTTAAACCTGCTGCCTATCAATTTCATTTGGTGACCCCTAGTTCTTGTGTTAAGGAAGTGTTATTTACTCCTTCTCATATTTACTTTCTCCACACCCGTCATGATTTTATAGACCTCAATCCTATCCCCCCTTAGTCGTTTGCTTTCCAAGCTGAAGGATCACTGCCCCGTTCTATAGATTGGGCAACTGACGTACCCAAAAGTTCTGTGCAGACCTAGGAATAGTACCCAAGTCTCCTGCCTCCCAGGTCACTCCCTTAGCCACCAGACTATGCTGCCACCTATAGGAGCTTTGTAAGGGAAAAAGGTACCCAGATTTCTACCCCACAGTCCACCAACTTGCACAATCTAGCCCTAAATGCAGAGGGCCAAGAGCTACCTTTGACTTGCAAGTGCAGTGCAATGTGGAGTCCCAGCCGTGTGCTGGATCACCGCATAATATGCTTTTATTGCTTGCGGGACAATCAAGGGACAAACTGTCCCAGCTCATTACTCGTTCTCAGTCTCTACTAGCTACCATCCCGAGTTGTAGGAGCATTTGCACCTCCTGCATGAGAAGTTGTTCATGAGAAGGGTCCCTGAAGAGGGACAGGGAAGGAGGGTGGGAAAGCAGGAGGGAACAGAATTGGAGAGAATATCCCAATTCTACTGTGCTCAAGACCCATTCGTCTGAGGTGATTTGTGCCCAGGCATGGTAGAAATGGGACAGACGATTCACAAAAGGGAGGGGAAGGCTCTGGAATCTGAACTTGTGTGTCGCCCCCGGGCGCACCTTCAAAAGTTTGGCTTGGAGGTTGAGGGCTGCTTTGCTGAGCCCTGGCCCTGGTTAGAGGAGGACTGAGAAGGTCTCCGTCTTTTTCTCCTGCTCCGCTTCCTGCTATAGTCCTGTCTAGGAGGAGCTGGGTAGAAATGAGGGGCAGGCTGAGGTTTAAAATGCTTCCTCTGGGAGGCTGCCATATGAAGCCCCAGGGACTTCGGAGTTGTCCGTGAGCCCTGTAGGCTGTGGGGCTTCATGTCTGTTTGCTCTGAGAAGAGCCCTACACACTCGAAAGGCAAGTCCTGAATGGTCTGCAGGACCTCGTGCGGGAGTCCCAACACCTGAAGCCATGAGCTCCTTCTCTTGGCTATGGCTGTCGCCATGGTATGGATTGCAGAGTCTGCTGAATCGAGGGAGGCCTGTAAGGAGGTCCTCGTGACGACCTTGCTTCCTCAAGGACAGCAGCAAATTCCAAGTGGGAGTCCGCCAGAAGGAGTTCCTTAAATTTGGACGTTCCAAGAATTAAAACTATAGCAGCTGAGGACTGCCTGCTGGTTGACGATGTGAAGCTGGAGCTTCCCACCCCCTGGCCCCTGTAGAATATACCTTCTTACTGAAGAGATCCAGCTTCTTCGCCTCCTTAGACTTAGGAGTCGGTCCTGGTTGTCCCTGCCTTTCCTTTTCGTTGGCAGCCTCCACCATCAGAGTGCCTGGCTGAGGGTGAGTGAACAGGTACCCATACCCTTTTCAAGGCACAAAATACTTCCTCTCCACCCCTTTGGCCATGGGAGGAAGAGAAGCGGGAGTTTGCCACAATGCTTTACTAGTGTTATGGATGGTTTTAATGAGGGACCTTCAGGCACCAGAATGTTGGCCATGGGGTCGGTCTCCTCTGACACCTTCTCTGACTGCAAGCCCAAATTTTGAGCCACCCTTCTGATCAACTCCGGGTGGGCTCTGTTGTCCATTGCTGGCAGCATGGTGGATGTGCCTGCCACCGCTCCATCCGGGGAGGATGAAGATGCTCATGGGGGCACTGAGTTTTCCTGACCCTCTGGCTCGCGGGGATACCCCTGCGCCAAAACGCCGTGTGTGGTGCCGGTTTCCAGGCCCGAGCCCATCTTGGTACCGGCCCCAGTGCCGAGTTCTGCTGAGGTCTCAGTGCCGGCCTGTGTGCCCATCTCTGATCCTCGCAGAGGTTCCCGGGCTACAGCTGTTGATGCTGGAGGGGCCCGTGCCTCCGAAACCACCGACTAGGATCTGGACCCCGGCCCACTGCGGTGGCCATGACATCATGGGTAGTGGCTGTCCACCTTGTCTGGAGCGCTGCCAGCTTTGCCTAGAGACGTACAATTCCGCCTCCGAGTCCGATGAGGACTCCGATCCTGGCGACCAAGGTGGTGCGGCGCGAGATGGTGCCGGGGAGTGGTGCTGAGGTGAGAGAGAGCGGTGCTGCATCATCGTCAGCTTGCCCCTAGAGGGCACTGTGCCTCTTTGCAGTAACTGTGATGGTGCCAGTGCTGCCGCCCGTGTGGGGAACTGAGGTGTCATTGCTAGGAGGTCCCTCGTTGCCTCAAAGGTGTCCGGCATGGCGGGAAGGTCCAAGTCCTCCACCCCCGCTGTGCCCCCAATCCCTGCTCATCCCCCTCTCCCCAGAGTCCATCTCTAAACTCTCTGTCCACATGGCTTTGGAGGGAGCATTGCTCCTGACAGGTACCACTAAGGGAAAACCTTCCGACGACTGTGCACGCGGCGTGCGCACACCTACTTGGAATTGACATGAGCAGGCACTCGAAGAAGAAATGAGGGTTACAGAATAGTTGAATTATTTCTTGGGGACAACATGCGTCTTAGGGAGGGGCTTGAGTGCAGAGAAAAGAGGGTGGTGGCTTGGGGCAAGGGTGACCAGGTGTCCCGATTTTATAGGGACAGTGCCGATATTCGGGGCTTTTTCCTCATATAGGTGCCTATTACCTCCTACCCCCTGTCCCAATTTTTCACACTTGCTATCTGGTCACTCTACTAGGGGCAGGCACTCTGTACACTAGGGGACGACAGAGAAGAGGCTGCAGATTGGAGTGGGAGGTGGGATGAGCAGGGGTGGAGGAGGGAGCAGGATGGTGTGGGATCTTGAGGGTGAGGAGAAGAGTTTAAGCTAGACGCGATGAGTGGCAGGGGGACCAGGGGGAGGCTCAAGGATGGGCGTGTTATGAAGTTAGCCTGCCGGGCAAGGTAGATCATTGTCGCAGCCGTGCACTGGCTGGACTGGAAGGAGGTGTCCCGGGGGCCTCGGGCAGGCCAGACACAGGGTGAAGCAATCAAGTCAGGGCCCGGGTGAGTGTGTGAGCTGCAAGACCAGAGAAGAAGGATCCCACATTAACCAACATTTCTCCGTTAGGCAGCAGGCCCATGTCCCCGTGTTTGTAGTGCAGAATGAATCATTGTTTGAGGGCCAGAGCAGCCAAGCTGCAAGGTTAATGCTCTCACAAGAGGCTTTGGTAACTGCCAAGGAAACACAGGCAGGTGTCAATGTTCCCTCCAAGTGCACTCTGGGAATGTGGAGGAACGAACCAATCCACTTCCCAAGGCCAGAGACTGAACTTCCTCTTCTCTTGTTCCCAGAGGAAACTTGGCAGTGATTTACCGCCCCCCTTACTCCGTAACTTTCCACTTCCCGGGGCTCCTTGCTTCCAGAATTAGAAACAGCTGCAGGATTTCGCAGCCATGTTTTCCAAACGCTTCTTTGGAAAGACCCACAAAAGCCTCATTTTCCACCAGCCAGAGCCAAATTCCACCCATAAATCACTGCGCTCAAATGTCCGGGAAGGGTTGGGAGACAGGAAAGGCACAATTGCCCTGGGAACCACCAACGCACACCAATTGCTGGCTGTGGAGGACACTCTGCGGCTGGTATTGCTCTGCCCTGATCTCAGTGACCTCACATTTACTCAGAGGGCAGCATGCTTTGCGGCTTGAAGCCGGGGAATCAGAACAGGAAATGCCATTCCAGAGGCTGCACCTGGCATCTTGGTGTAAAAGTCACCACCTTGCAGCCACCTCATCACACTGTACCCGGGACCTGGTTCTTCAGAGCCAAGATCTCGGAGGGTGTAGAAGAGGCTCTGTCGACTGATTTCCTTCTCAACTGGAGCACGTCTTTAGAACAGCAGCAGGGTACATGATCCCAGGAAACTGGTTATCCATGAAAACCAGAGCACAGGGGGGATGAGGTCAGAAGAGCCCTACACCATATGATCCAGATGTCAGGCTGGATTCTCTGTTCACATCACAGATTTGATCCCTTTGATTTCTAAAGGTTCCTAAACCATGCTCATCACCATGGTAGCTGAGTGCCTGACAAAGGCTGGGCGGGGAAGCAATAACCCAGAGATGAAGTGACTGTCCCAGGAGCAGTCAGCAGCAGTGTTGGGACGAGAACCCAGCTCTCTGGCA